ATCTCAGCACAGCCCGCGGCCCCACCCGCCCTGGTGGCCCAGGATGAACCCAGGCCCCTCTAGTTATTGAAGAGCCCGTGGGTAGAGAATGCCCAGCGGGTGGGGCGGACGGGAAGGGTTGGGGGGCTGGCTCGAGCTACAAGATCATAGCCAACATATTGAAGAGCGTGGTTGCACGCATCCTCTCATTTAATATTCCCCATTGTGAAATCTGCCAGGTAGGTACTTTTGTCTCCATTTTCACATAAGAAAACGGGCTCAGAGGACTTGGGTCCTTAGACCCAGGTCCTGCAGTAGGTAAACGAAGGAAGGAGATTAGAACCCAGGCCTGTGCCGCAGCGGCGCCCCCTGGTGGGGGGTGGAGGCGCCGGGCCCACCTGTCAATCCTCTGAACTGAAAGTTAGCGCCTTCCTCTTCCCAGCTCAGACCACCTGGGGGGGCGTTACTGGGTGAGGGGGGGCTTCTCCCCTACCCCAGCCACCTGCATCCCGTTCTCCCCGCCCCTTACCCTTAAGCCCTTTTGTCACCTGCCCCCTGCAGGACAAGATGAAGCTCATCATCCTGGACGACTATTCTCAGGCCAGCGAGTGGGCCGCTAAGTACATCAGGAACCGCATCATCCAGTTTAACCCAGGACCAGACAAGTACTTCACCCTGGGGCTCCCCACTGGTGCGTTGTGGGATGGAGACGGTGCCATGGGTTGGGAGTGGGGTGGCCTAAGAATAGGCATTAGGGGATTTTAGGGGGCCAGGTGGGTGGGCTCACTCAGCCAAGGGACTTTAACGAGGGCTCAGAGGTACTGGTGCTATGAGTGAACAACTCCCTTGCCTCCCCTGACAGGCAAAACAGAGGACCCGGCGTCCTTATGGGTTGGTTGAGTTGCCTGCTCTTGAAGAGGCCTGGAGCAGGAGGAAATTGATTTTGGGACTACATCTTAAGTCAGCCCTGTCAGCCAGGGTCCCTTAGCAGGATTAAGTCCCAGTGCCTTAAGGCATGCATTTTATGTAATGAATAAATTTCTTTTCTGTGCATCTGGAGTGCGACTAGCTAGTCCCACCATCCTTACCTAGTCCCACCATCCTTAGCTAGTCCCACCATCCTTGGGAGAATTGAGAAGATAGTCACTCAAAGCGGAACAGTCCCAGTTTCTTTGGGAAAAATCAGAATGTTGCCTTTATAGGAAGAAATTTTGACCCCAGCTCCTCAAAACAAATGTCCTGGTTATTTCTTTCAGAGAAGTGGGGGGGATTTGTCCCAGAGGCCCATCCACTAGAGCAAGGGTCTTCCATTTTTTTCTTTAAGTTGTCAAATAGTAAATATTTACGCTTCACTGGCCATACAGCAGCTACTTAACTGTGCCCTTGTAGCTTGTAAGCAGCCATAGACAATACATAAATGAATGAACATCAATAAAACTCTACTTATGGATATTGAAGTTAGAGTTTGTATAATTTTCATGTGACAAAATAATACTTATGATTTTTAAAAACCTAAAAAATGTAAAAACCATTCTTAGCACGTGAACTGGACAAAAACAGCAGCAGGCTCGATTTGGCCCGTAGGCCGAAGTTTGCAGACCTCAGTGCTGGAGGTCTGGGAGCAGTGTCTGCTAGTACTTGTGAAACCAATACCTCAGGCCATGTGGGAGCTGCACTAACATCCTGTTGTCTAACTGGGTCAGAGTCTGGGCTTCTGCTGAAACCCTCCCTGGTTCCCCATGAGCCGCAGACTCAGATCCAAGCTCCTCAGAGTGGCATTTAGGGCCTTCCACAACCTGGCCCCTTTCTGACTGTCACACTTGAACCAGCACAGCATTTCCATATAGGTTCCTTGGGACATTCCTTCTGTTAGATGAAGCACCAGGCAGGGTTCTGGGTGGAAACCACAGAAACCAACTCTGGCTAACTTAAACAGAAAAGGAATTTGTTGGCTAGAGATTGGGGAGCTTACAAAATTGATGGGAAGCCTAGAGGTTTGGAAAAGGGACGGGGTGGTAAATAAACTAGCCCAGGGGAAGGATAGGGAAGCTGTTGGCTCAGGCTGTTGTAAGTGCCAGGGATACAGCAGTGAACAAATTTCTTCCTTCCTGAAGCTTAAACAAGGAAGGGGGACAGGGAGTGTCTAGACGGGGGTGGGAGTTGCAGTGTTGGATACGGTGGCAGGGAAGGTCTGAGAAAAATTTGAGTAAAGGCCTAAAGAGGTGAGAGGTAGCCATGCAGATGCCTGAAGGAAGAGCACTGCTGGCAAAGGGAATGTGCCAAGGCCCTGAGGTAGAATTGCTTGGAGCCGGGTAAGTAACAAAGAGAGAGAGAGCCAGGGGCCAGGTTCTGTAGAGCCTTTATTGGACTGGTTATTATTCATAGTGAAATGAGAAGTCATTGGTGGGTTGTAGAGTGATCTGATTTGGGTGGGGCTCTTAATCTTTTTATCTTAAAACATTTCAAATATTCAGAAAAGCTGAAAGAATAGTACTATACTATTTACCTCGAATCACCAGTTATTAACATTTTGTCATATTTGCCTTCATCTCCTCTGGCTCATGTTCTGTCTCTACACACACACACAATTTTTTTTTCTGTATTACTTGAAAGTAAGTTTTAGACGTCCTGACACTTTACCGCTTAAGTCTTTTACCACCTATCTCCTCAGTTAAGGGCATTATATAACCTTAACTTATATAACCACAATACCATTATATCTAAGAAAATGAAAAATCATTCCACAATATCGTCTAATAAACAGACTATATTAAAAATATTTTCCCTACCCAGCCAGCGTGGCTCAGCAGCTGAGCATCGACCTAGGATCCAGGAGATCGTAGTTCGATTCCCAGTCAGGGCACATGCCTGGGCCGATCCCCAGTCAAGGCTTGCAGGAGGCAGCTGATCAACTACTCTCATCATTGATGTTTCCCTCTCTCCTACCTTTCTCTCTCTGAAATCAACAAAAATACATTTAAAAATATTTTTTTTCCCTAATTCCCACATTTACCTTTCATAACTTAAAAAAATTAACCCAGTGTCTAATCAGGCTTCATGTTGATCTTTAGTCTTTTAGTCTATAGCGGTCCTCCTGCCTTTTTTATGTGTTTTGTGACTGACTTTTTATTTTAATATGTTTTATTGATTTCAGAGAGAGGAAGGGAGAAAGAGAGGTAGAAAAATCAATGATGAGAGGGTCATTGATCAGCTGCCTCCTGCACGCCCCCTACTGGGGATTCCCCTATCGGGAATGGAACTGCGATCTCCTGGATCATAGGTTGATGCTCAACCACTGAGCCTCACCAGCCGGGCTGGCTGGTTCTTTAATTAAAGACTCAACCTGAGAGTTTGTGCTCCTCAGAGAAGTCTTCCGTGAACCCGCAGGCTGGCCTGTGCTTACCCGTCACAGCTGACATCACTGCTTCTTGCCCCCACTCCGAGACAGTGAGCTGTTCCAGGGTGGCTGCAATGTCTCTCGTTCCCCTGTGTCCCCATCACCAGCCCTTCTGCCTCGGCACATAGTAGTTGCTCAGGGCGTGTCATGTTAGTGATTAAGTCTGATGTTCCCTCAAGTAATAATCACAGTCATTTCAATCATCAGAATGCTGCACAATGGGGATTTAGCAATGGACAAAATAGACACAGCTGCGACCCTCTGGAGCTTACAGTCCAGTGGGGAAATAGGCAGTCAACAAGCATGACAGGATGGCAGCATTTGGGTAGGACTTCAGATCTGACTTGTTTGAACAGCCATGACCCTGACTCACTCCCGGGCGCCCTCTGGGCTTCCAGGAGCAGGGCTGGGGAGGGGACACGATCGAAGGGTGTTCTGGCCTCTCTTGTAGGGAGCACCCCACTTTGCTGCTACAAGAAGCTAATTGAGTACTATAAGAATGGAGACCTGTCCTTCAAATACGTGAAGACCTTCAACATGGATGAGTATGTGGGTGAGTCTTTTCCTTTCAATCTTTATCTGATTCCAGGAGAGTCTGTACTCCCCCCCCCCCC